ACAGTGATTATACCCAGGGAAGGGACATGTCAGACATTAAACTGAATGTTGGTGGTACATAGTTCATAGCAATCAAAGCTATGATTGGAGCGCACATCCTTTGTTCTGTCCTGTGCTGCTTCAGATGACATTGTGTTTGCAAGCTGCTCTGCTGTCAAGATGCGAATTATAGCAGCTGCAGTGCTGCCAATGGTTCTTCCTCCCCTAATGCCCCCTAATCTGGGGTCCTCCATTTTTTTAAAAAAGTTTGCCAATGTCTCTGTTTATAGAACAAGAAGGCAGCTGTAGTGGGTAGTATGAATCACAGAGGTCATGGATTCTGCGACTTGAATTAATCTCCCTGACTACTTCAACTTCTGCTTCTCCAGCTGGAACTGCCAGCCCCTGCGGTGGCCAGCTCTCTCAACACTCCCCCCCATTATTTTTAATAAAAGTTAAACAGGTTGCAGGCTTTTGTGAATTTTTGTTTGTTGCCTGCAACCTGTTTGTGACTTCCACTAAAAATAACCATGACACAAAATAACCTTAATTATCTGTCACTAGGGATGTTAAAAATCTGTTAAATAAGTAACCATGTAACTGCTGAAAATCTGTTACATGCTGTCAGCCCAGATCCCAAGGAGGCAGCTTCACTGAGTGTAACAGACACTGTTAGTCTAGTCATTTATATTCAGACATCCATCTCATCACCTTTAGGAAGAATCAATGACAAACTCTTAACCCTAGCTTGTGTTTAGAAACCCAAATTTTAACTCATTTCTTTCTCTCTCAAGTAGAAGGATTTAACCTTTAAAAACCAAACCAAAAAAACCCTTATTTTCCCAGTCCATAGCTGTGGGGCTTGTAATTCTCAGATGTTGTCTCTAGACATAAATAAATTCCTAAGTACAGTTTCTATTTAGACTTATGTTAATGTTTAGGTAATACCTTGTTACAATCACATGAATTGTCAATCTCAGCTAGGGATGTAAAAAAATATATTAAAATAGTAAACATGTAAACAATCAAAATCCTGTTAGTTACATAGTTAAACATCTTACCTTGGGATGTAGGGGTAGGGAGGGAAGGATGCTGAGGCTCCCGGCCCTGCGGGCTCCCAACTGCCAGCCCCACGCTCCCTAGCAGAATTTAACCGTTAACAGAAATAGGCAAGCATCGTCTTATTGGTTAACTGGTTAAACTTACATCCCTAGTCTCAACAGCAGCAAGTTGTGATGTTGCAAGATTGCTATTACGTGGAGAACAAGCTACATGTGCAGTAGTATTTTGATTTTTTTTTCCCCTCTTTTGTAGTTGTAGGATTAATGTACTGACTATTTTCAAAGAAGGTGTATATCAGGTGTAACAATTAGCTGCTCTGTAATAATGTAGCTAGGCTTACTATTGGTATGTTTATTCTATGAATATACTGCATTCAATAGGAGATTATAAAGTGCTGGAGGTGGGGAAAGCAGGAAGCAAATGAGGATTAAGAGACAATGTCACAGTTATTTGCTCTGAATATTTTACTTCCTTCTAGCCAACCTGCAAAACTAGAGTGAACTACAAGAAAGGGGCTGCTTGTGACTGAAGGGCAGATATTCTTTGTGTTTACTTAAAGGTATCCCCCAATAGCTTATTATCAGGAACTAATCCTTATAGACTTTTTCTGTCACTGACTTGGTTACATGCTAAGTTCCCTCTAGGGTAGAGCAGCAGCCAGGGCTGCGGTGTGGCTGCTACTGGGGCCCCTGCATCCTTCTCCCCCCCCCTTCTTCCCTTCCCCTCCACTGGTATCAGGCTCTGAGCCCCCTCGTAGCTTCCCCCCTCTGGCTTCCCATATTGCTCTGTCCTAGGCCCCCCTCCTCCCCACTCCCTGCAAATCCTGGGTGTTGGGAGAGTCTCAGGGAGCATCACCACTGTTGGGTGTGTCAGTGGCACGCATCCGCACAAGTGCCCTTGACTTCAATATTGGCACACAAAACAAAACTCACTTGCTCAGGGATAGAAAATCTTAGAGGGAACACTGTGTTGCACCTCTGCTTTTTAAATGTAGTAAGAGCCGGGTGGGCTCTTACTATATTGAAAAGGCAGTAGTGCAGCGGTCCTGGAGAAGACAGCACAAGCCTGGACTGCTCAATCCTGGCTTTCACTGCTTCTGGGAGCTAACTGCTGTGGCTCTGCCTGCACACCCGGCTCCTACTCCATTGAAACTGCAGAGCCATGAAGGGGGTAGCAAGCACGTGCCCCCTCCCCTCATCGACTAATCAAATGATCAGTGGAAATTCATGGACTACTCGGTTAATTAAACACTGCTTATCATCCCGATTGTACATAAAAAATGGTTGAAACATCACTTATGAGGGAGAAGTGCTTAAATCATGCTTTTTAAAAAATTGCTTGTCCATTAGTGAAGAATAGTAAACTTTTGTACAGTTTCTCTGTTCAGCCAAGTTTGAAACCTTGGTTGAGGAAAAGTCAATTGATTTCACTTTTCTGCTACAACTATGGGAAGTAATTACCATGTTGTTGATGTAATTGGCACAGAGGAAATGGGAGTTTCTGACCATCTGTTTTGTATGGAAGAGTGGATAACTTAGCTGTCGTGTTCCTAAACTACTGTACTTAAGTTGGAACCTAGTTTACTTTTCAGTTTAAAGACTATCATTAGCTAAATAGTTGATAATACAAATCCTTACTCAATTATTTATGTGTGCGCTCTTACAGCAGCAAAAGCCAGAGTTAATGTTGCAAGTTGGCATTTATCAGTATTATTCATAACTTTCTCTTTTCTTTAGAGAGAGTTTTCAAAATTTTTTTTTTTTAACCCAAGGATGAGATATTTGCTTTAAATCTTTACTATTTTGGGTGTATGTCTGAGAAATAATAATTTTTGGGAGGAAGACTAGATGGCTGAACTTAACATCAAACTTGTGGTTCGTCTTCAATGAAAAATAATTGCAGCTGCAGTTCAAAGAAAGAATGTTAAGGTTTTATTTATAGGAAGGTATAACTGACATTGTTTTACATGCAAAGCCACTCAAATACGTTTTTCTGTTGTACCATGGTCCCAGTTTTATAGCCTCACTACTTGGTTATTCGTGTGGTTACCTGTTGCTGCAGCTTAAGGGTACGTCTAGACTACATGCCTTGGCTCAGCCCGGTAGTCTGGATGCTCCGTGGTAGACATCAAAGGCGTTTGTTGACCTCCCAGGTAAACCTTATCCCAGGAGGCATACCTGGGAGGTCGACAAATGCCTTTGGTGTCGATGGCGGAGCGTCCAGACTACTGTGCTGAGCCAACAAACAGCTGATTGGCTCAGCGCGGCAGCCATTTAAACTTAAATGAAGCGGCGATTATTTAAATCGCTGCTTCATTTTCCTATGCCAGGTAGCCTAATCTACATGCCTCTGTCGCCAGAGGCATGTAGTCTAGACGTACAGTAAGATATGGGGAATGTATAAAAGCAGTTGCACAATTCCTTAATGCAGTCTTGCCCTTGTCTTAAACTTAATGTTACGTTTAAGGCCAAAACCATAAATGCATGAATTAGTATTTCAATATTACATTTAATATGCCCACATTACTAAACGTGGTCTGAAGATAGATTTTTTTTTTTTGCGCTTTAAAATGACTGGCAAGTGTGTTGAAATTTGACTTCGTTATAAAATGGTCGTTTATATGCAATTCTTTGTACATTAACTTGGTATAAAAAGTAACAATGCCCCTGATTTTTCAGATGACAGTAGAAATTGGTGGGAGCTGTAGGGGTTTGGCATATCTGAAAATCAGATCCAGTATATCTGTATGTTAATTGAGTTTCTACTATGTAATATGAAATTCGCTTTCTATATTACAAACTGTTGCTGGCATTGCTATTAGGGATGTTAGAAAGCGGTTACAAGATTATTGATGCCACTGATATAGAAGCAGCAGCATGGGGTGGCACACAGAAGCTGGTCTGCAAGGAGGAGACCTAGTTTAAAAAAGATCCCCGTGCAGATCGGCTCCCACCTGCTGACACACATTGCTGCTTCTGTATCAGAAGCAACAGCACGGGGTGGCAGGTGGCTCCCCTGCATATTCGCATATTCTTCATTGAAAATTTGGACTGGCGGGCTGGGACTGAGCCAGCCTGTCAGTCTGAGTTTTAAATGAAGAGATCAGAGAGCAGGAGGGGGTTAAGCAAACCAATAAGCAATCACATATTGGTTAAATGGTTTGCCGAATATCCGTTAACACCCATAATTGCTATGTTGGTAATAGGTGTGATCTTGGACTAACAGCTGTGTGCTGACAAAAGTCTCTAGATTGGACATAGCTGTACTGGGAAAAGTGTACTTTTACCAGTATAGCTCATCTTGCTTGGAAGGTAGAAAGATAGAGAGAAAAAAGAAACAGAAGTACAGTTTTGCTGGTATGAGCCAAATCTGCACTGGGAGCACTTTGATAGTGTAGTTAGCAAAGCACTCCTAGTGTACACTTGGCCTAGGTTTGTCTTTTATACTACTTTAAGGGGCATAGTCAGTACTTAGCACAATTTTAAGAAATTCTACTGGGGGGGAGGGGCGGTTTAAGCTGTGTAACTATCTCAGCTTTTTTTATCACTTTCTTTGAAGGATTTGGAAGAGGACTGATACAAATTATGCTATATTGACTATAAATGAGAAGTAAATGTGCAGTTTGGTTCCCTCTAAGCTGCGTGATGCACAACCCTGCAGCTGCTTAATGAGCCCTGCCCAGCTGAGGGCTCCATGCAGAAATTCCTGGATGTGGGAGAGGCACTTCTGCTTAGGCTACAGCAGTAGCTCTGTGCACAGAGCCCTGAGCTCCTCGTTGGGCAGGACTCATTAAGTAGTTGTGGGGCCATGCTACTGCACAGCTTAGAGGGAACCCTGTTTACCAATCTGGACTTGTGCTTCCCTTTTGGTAACTGAAATCAAAAATCACACACTACCTAGTACTTTCTTAAAATGCCCAATAGTCTGTCCACTTACTTAACATATTTTTCTTCTCTTAGGTTATATACATCACCAAAGAAGAAACTGGTCCCAGTGCAGAAATCTGTTAGTCCATTAGTTTGGTGCAGGCAGGTACTCGACTATCCAAGTCCTGATATTGAATGTGCTAAAAAATCACTGATCCACAGGCTTGAACAGACAATGTCAGGTGAGTTCAGTGTGTGTGTGTGTGTGTGTGTGTGTGTGTGTGTGTGTGTGTGTGTGTGTTGATGATGTATTTACATTTTAACATCAAACCTCATTTTAGAATAAATATACATTATCTATATTCTTCCAGTAATTTGAGGGTTGAAGAAGGTTCTTCACTTTCAATTTTTTGTTACATTTTTCAGATGGCAATTCACTCTCTGTTTTGGGACATGTTAGTAGAAGTAAGCAATAGACTAACTGAATCACAAATCCAGTAGTTTATGCCACCAGTAATTATATTTTGGCCAGTTTCTATTTCATCTCAAGGCAAAACACTCAATCTGGAATTTGTCTGCTGCCTTAGTTAAAAGTTTAAACTTTTGAGGGGAGAATGAAAACTATCAGGTTGATAAACACTGCATTTAACCTTAATAAGCTTAGGTATGCAGTTAAACTCCGTGTTAAAGTGTTTATCTCTTCTTGATTAAGAGATGGATGAGATGGACTATTAAGCCAGATAATAGTTTTGGGGGACAGTGGAATTTTCAGTGGATTTGAGATATTGGTTATTCCTTTCCATCCTCCCAACTCTTGTTCTCCTAATGGGAGTTAGGTACTTAGTACCTAGTACAGTGTTGGGCAATCTGTGGGCCACATGCGGTCCATGGGGATTTTGTGTGTGGCCTGGCCTGTAAGACTTCTTTTTTTACTGTTGTCCATGCGAAGGGTTGCCTTATTCCTCTGGTTTCTGTGTGTGGAGTTTTTTCCTACTGGCATTACTGAAGTGACACACAAGTAAAGCAAAGATACATGAAGTGAGGTGCATGCTTGATTGCACACAACACTGACTGTAAGAGCTGTGTGCTTTCTCTGCATTCTATCAAAGTGCTATTATGGTTCATTCGCACCACACAAATTCTATGTACATAAATGGAGTTTGCAAAACTACCCTATCCCAGGAGAGAGTCTTGGTTATGACAATCTCATGGCCAGCTGAGATGGAGGGCCACCCATGTGGGGTACTCACTACCCTACATCAGTGGTCCCCAAAGCGGTACCCGTGGGCGCCATGGTGCCCGCTGGGGCATTTGTAGACACCCGCCCCCCGGCGTGCGGCGCACTGGAAGCGCAGGCCCCAGGCGCGCGGCGCTCGGGCGGCCCCAGCCC